CCATGCGTCTATCTTGATCAACAAGTCCATCATAGAAGTAGAGGATGAGATCTTGTTCTGAATATCCATGATATGGGCAACTAGCACATAATTTTTTAAAGCGCTCCCAATATTCATACAAGGTCTCATTATCTGTTTGCTCAATGTTGCTGATTTGCTTCTTGAGACTTGAAGAGATAGATGCGGGATAGTACCTGTCAAGGAAGCTCTTCTTCATTTGAGCCCATGTATTGATGCTCCCCGAGGGAAGATAAAATAACCAATCTTTGGCGGTGTCTTTGAGAGAGAATGGGAAGGCTCTCAGCTTGATTTGCTCCTCGGACACGCCATTAGGGCACATGCTTGTGCACACAATATGGAACTCTGACAGGTGTTTATTTGGATCTTCCCCTCGTAAGCCATGGAAAGAGGGAAGTAGATGAATGAGCCCAGATTTAGCTCGAATGTGACCCCCGTATCCAGAGTTGGAAAAGTGATACATAAGGGTTGTTGATTTAGATTCGGAGCCGTGAGCTCCCTCAACGTTCTTGTCTCCAGAGCCATGTGGAAGGACTCTTCGGATTCGCTAGAATGAGAACTAGCACTTGATGATTCCTCCGAAGAAGTATTCGGAAATAGATTCCTGAACCTCTCGAAGGCTTGTTCTGTTTCGGGCTTTGTTTGGTAGGTGATTTGGTTTATAGATCGGTGTTTAACCATATACTCAAACAAAGCTCAGCAAAAATAGAAATCTTTATATATTATTTTTTTATTTTTCTTTGAAATAAAATAAAAAGAAAAATTAATTGTCTTTCCCCGGCAACGGCGCCAAATTTGACGAGCACTTTGTCACGGTGCGTCAAAATAATTTTCAATACTAACACTTATACGTAGTACAGCGTAGTAGAGTTCGTATCTACAGGGAAAGGAATAATTCTCTTTTTATGATACTTAGTAAATAAAAAAGGGGGGATTTGGATTGAGAGATTTAATTTAATTAAGAACTAAGATGAACAACCTATATGTGTTTAATTCAAAGATAAAAAGGACTTGGCATGGCTACTTTCCACTTGTTGATATATTTTAGTCGATCATTGTTATATCTATAACGTATTCCCTCTCGAATACTCAATCGGGGAGTATATCCACTTCATCGAGGGTAGTTATTAACAACGACCGTTCATTAATAACCCTTACTATTAATCAAATATAGAACAACGCCTTATACCGATTTAATAGTAGCATTTAATCTTTCTAACTCCTTGATGAAATCAATTGAGATTGATAACCTCAACACAAGCGGTTTCGGTTTAACCAACAAAATTAATCCCTCTTAAGTTTATTAACCACGACCGTGCATTAATAAACCGAAGTTACTTACTTGTGAAACCATCAACGATTAACCATCGATTCGTTGATCGTTTCTAGTAATAATTAATATATGAAACAAAACTAGTTGATCATTTAAGTAATGTTCAAAATATTAATATGAAATAAGAGTAGGGATTAATTAATATTCAAGGAAGAACATTATTAATGAAGATGAATCCTACTATAATTAATATCAAGATGTTAACTAATTGTCATCTTAGCAACACTCCTCAATATTAATATAGAGGAAGAAAATACCATTCTAACTAATGTCGAGATGTTAACTAATTGTCATCTTAGCAACACTCCCCAACATTAATATAGAGATGATATTAAGGAAAGAACTATTAATTAATATTCAAGGAAAGAAGTTAAGAAAATAACTCACAACTTTAATAATCAACAAGCTTCAAGAGCAACACCAAGAATGGAAGTTTAGCTCCTCATTTGGAGGCTAAACATAGCTAGAAAAATATAAAAAAATGATATTCTAAACTGAGCTAAAGAGTATGGAAGAAGGGATGATTTTTAGAGGAGAAAAAGAGTGCTATTTATAGGTGTTTTTCAACACCTTTGGCCGGGTACCCGACCGGGTCAAGTACTCACCCGACCGGGTCCATGTCAAAATCAAATATCCTCCACGTTCTGGCGATCTTCAGCATGTTCAAGTGTCCGGGTCAAGTCAGACCCGACCGGGTGGGGTAGGGGACCCGATCGGGTGAGTGCAAAAATTGGATTTTCTACACGTTCGGGTGATCTTTGCACACCGGGTTGTCCCCGGTCACTTCTCACCCGACCGGGTGAGGTAGTGGGCCCGACCGGGCCATGCACTTTCTTTGCATTTTCGTTTTTCACTTCTTACCCGACCGGGTCAAGTATTATACCCGGTCGGGTATTTGCTCCTGGGCAGCCAAATCTTCTTTTTCTTCACTTCAAAGTCTTCCTTTCCAAACCATAAATCCTAACTAAACTTTACAACTGACAAAAATAGACTAAAATACAATTACAACTTGAAATCACATAAATGTTTACAAACTAAATAAAACGTTAAACAATTAATATAAATCACACATAAAAACATGTAATTATGCACTACTAATTAGTGTGCATCAACCCCCCTACTACGCGTAAGAGGGAGCCTTTACCTTTAGGAATCTTAACTCCTTAAAAAAGGCTTCCCTTTATAAGGGGGTGAAAATCCATTGAGTTTTCCGGTATGGTATAAAACACACTAGAAACCCATCATTTTCCCAGTTTTTCCATTTCAACGAGTGAACTTCAAGAATCAATTTCTCATTCGCCCGTTATCCGTTTTGAGCGTACCATATATCGACTTGTAGCTCTTAACAAGGACAATCCGAAATCACTTTGACCCGACCCAAATCGGAAGTGGGCCCCACTCAACTAGTTGCCCCAAAATGATCATTTAATGCAATTTTTAACACACTTTTCCAACATATTTTACATAACCTATCTTCAATTAAACACCATCTAGACTCAAGAAAGCCATACGATTCGACTCTGCAATGGCCACCTCCAAAGAAACAGCGAGAATCGTTGACCATCAAACGAGAAACATAAAGTTCTTGCCGGTCGGTCACCTTTAAGGTCACTGTACTTTTCACCAGTTCATTAGACTCATAATAGAAAAAGTTCTCCTCGCTCCCTAATCACGCATATAAAAGTTCACTCAAAACTAATCGAAACTTTTCGCTAAACATATGGAAGTTTCAAAGCAATTAACAACCTTAGAACTATTTGAAGCTAAGTCCCTAGTTCCAAGGAGATGGAGATGGGTTGTCTAGAAGGAAGGGAAAGTGATAGAGATTTTCATTCCTTGGTTGATGTCCTCATGAATAGGTCATTTTCTATCCAGCTAATTCCCTCATGTTAGGAGACAACCGACCCTAAAAGAGCCTTGTATGAGAAGTCCCTGGGTTTAGACTCGTCTTTTGAAAGCCAGAACATTCACATAGAAGAGTATTTGAATCACTACACTAACAAGAGAGGAACCACGAGAATAAATCAATTGTCACTCTTTTTAATCTTACATCTAAACCATCAAATGGGAAACATAGAATTCTTACTGATTAGTAGACACTCTCAATGCCTCCGATCATAGTTAAACTCGACATCTCAAGACTGCACTACTAGAAAAATAGCTATTTACTGCGGTCATCTTTAGCTATTTGCTGCGGTTTTGAACCGCAGCAATAGGTGGAGCAGCAAATTGTTGGAAAACGTATTTGCTGCAGTTCATAATCGAAGCAAATAGCTATTTCAAAAAAAACGAATTTTGACTTATTGTTGCGGTTCGGAACTGCAGCAAATAGCTTTTAAAAAAATCAATTTTTTGACTTATGGCTGCGGTTCTGAACCGTAGCGAATAGTATTATTTTTTTAATTTTTTTTGCAGCAAAAAATAATAAAAAAAAACTAAAATTGTAATATTTATTTTTGTTTTGTTCTACTACCCAAATGGCCAAGTTTACAAACATGGTGTTTCAAACTAAAACATATGCTATTTATAAAAATAAGAAACATTCAAATTGCAACATTCAAGTTCGAGCACCTATTTGACAATTTTCCCTTTAAAATTTCAACTTTTTGTTGCGGTCGTGTCACAATCGCAGCAAATACATATAAATTTTGAGTATTTGCTACGTTTTTTTCTAAGAACCACATCAATTACATAGCAGTAAATAAGGAAAATTCTACTCCCTCCGTTCCTATTAAAACTTCCAACATTCTTTTTCATCCGTTCCAATTAAAACTTCCAGTTTCCCTTTTTAGTAAAGAATTTGTGGTTATAACATTTCTTACACATTTCTCTCTCCTCTGCACAACTCTCCACCACACAATACACGTTATCTTAAATTGTGTGTCAAACCTAATCGGAAGATAAAATAGGAATAGATGGAGTAGTAGTGAACACAAACAATACAAAACAAGGTAAACACAATGAAATGAAATTAACAAGATATAAATATAAAGTAAAAAATTGTTCTAAATCGTCAAACTTGCCCTGCTTTTGGCACTTGGTAACGACTGGAACGATGAAAGCTAAAGATGAAAACTAACGTTGCGACACAAGAGCCTTGCCGACTTCTGTTATGTGGAAGCCTCCTGCTGGCTTCTTCGAATCCTCAGACGAAAACATGCTCTTAATACCAAACCCAAGCACAAAGCTAGGCCCTTCCGCTTTTTAATCTTATTTAGTTTAGTCAAGGGAAAATAACATTATATTATATCGACAGATAGCATTACATAGACCTTTCCTACATTAATACTTAGTACTTGGTAAAAACACTAAATAAAGTGTACACAAGTAGGCCTAGAATCAAAGCAGACTACAAGAATTTCAGTGCTTCACAGAAATCGAAATATTCAAACGGTGTGTAATAGAAGATTTCAACTCAACGTCTACAAAAAATATACTCCGTGTTAATGAATGACAGAAGGGAAAAAATCAGAGAAAAGCATAACAAATTCTCACTTGTTCCGTCAAATATTGAACCTCATCCTAATCAATGAAGTAACAGATTTAAATGATCATTGAACATATATATATATATATATATATATATATATATATATATATATATATATATATATTAATGAATGAAAAAAAAAATATATATATTAATGAATGACAGATGAGAAGAGTTGCATGTAATGAAGCATAGCTATAAAGAGGCGCTGGATTTGTCATGATCAGGGGCACCCACAGTCACAGACGACCCTTGTCTCCGGGAGGCCATAATCCAAGAGTTGACCTCCAGAGCCACACATGCTCCAATCAGTGCTGACAAGCACAGGCAATAAAGGAGCATGCCATGTCCTTCTCCTTCTCCTCCTCCTCCCAACAACTGAAACCCTTGAAAAACATTGACCACCCCAACAACCAAGCATGCATACCCCACTAGATGGTGGTACGATTTCCAGTACTTCCTGAACCTGTTGGTTGTCTTCGGCCTGAAGAACATCGCCAGCGTTTGCGATATCCCGAGGCTGAATGCCGCTATGCCCAACTTCAGGTGCACCCCGTGTGCTCCCCCCTCCCCGAGCCTCACCCCTATCCCGAACCCGATGCTCCCTATTGCGATACCCGAGAGTTGTATGCCTGCACATATATATACGCATCCAAATTCGGATCAAGATTTGGCCACATAATCATCTTTTACCTTCAATTGAATACAAATGCTTGACAATTTCAAAATAAAAATGTCAATGTGTTTTCATTTCATAAATATAAGTAATTTGTGTGATATTTTGGTATCATGTCACTTTAAACATGACAATATTTTGGTATCATGTCACTTCATTACCTGCGTGGACGTAGAACCATGTAGGACCGAGTGAGTGTATGTGTCTGAGGTAACGCGCCGTGACAGCGCCAACTGGGAGCATGATTCCCCATGAGACGGCGTTCATGGCACCGTGGACGGTTTTCAGCGTCGTGAAATCGCGGTTGTGGCTTTTTGCGGAGGTGCCACCGGTGAGGATATTGACGGTGGAGATGGAGGAAAGGTCATTGGTCGTGGTGGGGTGAATAGTGGGGGAGTAGCCTTGGACGTACAGCCCCCGGTTCCACACCAAATGGATCCTGGTCCTGTTGGGGGCGAGCTTCACGGACGCGTATATTTCAACGGTGGCGCCGTCATGGATAGTGTCCGTACGTCCGCCGTACATGGAGGCAGAAGAAGAGAGGAGGTGGATGTCGAGCGGTCGGGAAAGGAGGGGAGCCTGTTGGAGCTTGACGGTGTCGTCGATGATGTAGGGCAAGAGGACAAGCTGGCCGGAGTTGGGGTCCGGGAAGGCGATGAGCGCGCGAGTGCCGGCCATCTCGGCGGAGGTGGGGTTGATTCCCCAGCCAACCCAACCGGAGGGAGAAATGAAGGAACCGAAGAAGGCAATATCAAGAGTGGCATTGTGGTGGTGGAAGGTCCACGCAATGGAAGCATCTTGAGATAGAAGTGAGGTGCATTTCTTGAAGGTCTTCGCGGCGGCGGCCCTGTTGCCGCATTTGGCGGAGAGCACCGTGGGTGGCTGAGAAGACAGTAAAAGGAGGAAGGTGACAATGAAAGTAAGCATAATGGAGTAACAATTCCATCACAATTCTTGTTTTTTAAAGGGCACGATATGATGTGTAGTCTCCAATAATCCAATTCATTATGTCTTCTAAGCTTAGCTTTGAAGCGTGGTATTACTCAATGCTCCCTAGCTAGTACGTGTTCCTTTGTTAGGTACAGATAATAAGCGTATATATGTCGTGAACAGAAAGAAAATTGCTCATGCCTAACAAAGACTACATTCACAAAATCACAAATACGAATTGCTTGATCAAAATTAATGAACACTGTGTTACAAAAATTTAAAATATAGGTTAATAAATTGAGTTAATTATCAAAATAGGACTAAAAGTGGGTCACTTTGCACAAATAGGACCAAAAACTAAACCATGTTTTCATAGGACTAATTATTTGTGTCTTGGACAAATATACCCTTCTAGCTATTGAAATGTTTTAATTCATAATAAAATAATAAAAAATAATAAAAAAATCGTAAAAAATACTAAAAAACTAATAACAATATTTCGATAATAATATTTAATTAATTTATTTTTTTTCAAAAATTTTAAAAAAATTAAAAAAATAAAAAACTCAAAATAATAAAATAAAATTCACCGTCGCCTCTGCCGCCTCTGCACCACCACCTCCAGTCACCAGGGAAAAAAATGTCAAGTTCATTACGAATGTCATATTTATGGCAGAAAACAATGAAAATGTTGGCATTCGCAAAGAGAAATATGCCACTTTTTGGCATTTTCATGAAAAAAATAGCAGTTTTTAGGAAAAATGGTATTTTTTCACTGGCCGAATGTAGTGGTGCAGGGAGGTAGTACAAGTGGTGGGAAAGGCATCCAATTTTTTTTAAATTTTTTTATGGAGTTTTACTATTTTTTATTAATTTTTTTTAAAAAAAATTATTAATTTTTTTTGGAATTTTTTATTTTATAATTTTTTTGTAAATTTTTTAATTATTTTTCTACGATTTTTTGAATTTTTTTTAGAATTTATTATGAATTAAACATTTAATTATGGCTTTTGACTATTTTTAACTCATATTTAATGAAAGGGTAAGAATGGAAGGTAAAAATAGGTATGTTTCCAAATATAACTCATATGGTCCTATTTTGGAATAAAAATATAGCAAGTCCTGTTTTGAGTTTTAGTCCTATTTGAAGTAATTTCTATAATAAATTTGCAAATTGATGCGGATCAACTTTGGTAGCAATGAGAAAATATTACTATTATTGATTCATTGTGATTACAAACAGTAAGCCTTAATATATACGTAGTACTAGTAGTATATACAGTAGTATGCTTCGATCTGCCAATACATGGTAACGACGTTAATGGGCAGAATATTACAAATGATTCATACCAAAATAACAGGGAGAACTACCAAATAAGCCCACGAACTTTCATAAAAAGTACAAATAAGCCCTTTTATAGGAGGCTCTGTCCGGCCGTCGCCATTTGGGGTGGTTTTCTGTGGATTTTTTTGATGATTTTTTTAGAATCTTCTTCATTAAGTCTAGTTTACTCATACCAAATTTCAACTAAAAATTCAATCGGGAAGGTTGTCAAATGAATTTGTCAAGATAACTGCGCAAATAGATAACGCAATATATTTCAGAAAATCATTTGACTGCCTTCTCGATTGAATTTTTAGCTGAAATTTGGTATGGGTAAACTAGACTTAATGAAGAAGATGCTCAAAAAAATTTATAAAAACATTCCACCGGAAACCGCCCCAAATGGCGACAGCCGGACAAAGCCTCCCGTAAAAGGGCTTATTTGCACTTTTATGAAAGTTCGAGGGCTTATTTGATTGTTCCCCTAAGATAATAAGACTAATATAATAACTATCCAAAAATATAAACTTCCATAATACCCTCAAGTTGGGGAGCATGAGGATTCAAAATGTCTTTCCAAGAGCTTAGTAAAAATACCCGCGAGCTGGGCAGTGGACGGTAGAAGGAACGTACATAACTGGGAGAAATGAGTCCATCCTTAATAGCATCACAAACAAAATGATAGTCCACTTCTATATGTTTGGTACATTCATGAAAAACTGGGTTTCGAGCGATGTGCAAGGCAACTTGACTGTCATAAAAGAGATGAATTTGTTCGTATATATGTCCTAGTGATATATATGGTGTTACACATTAACGATTAAGCATTTGACTAAGTAATTGAGAATTTATATGATACTCCCTTCGTCCCTTAAAACTTTGCCAACTTTCCTTTTTGGATGTCCCACTAACTTTGCCAATTTCCTTTTTAAGTAAAGAATTTGTGGTTCCAGTTAATTCTCTCTCCTCTGCACAAACCTCAACCACACAGTGTTTACTTTATTAATCCCCGTGCCGGTCAAACTTGGCAAAGTTTTAAGGGACGGAGGGAGTATAACATAAAGTCCTAAAATAGTCCCAATCAAGGATCATCATGAAAGAGATTTTGATGATATGCGATAAGATTGGTATGTGAACTACATCATACTCTAAGAAAGTATAGTTGATCTTACAACTATGTGTTCTTTTAATTTTGATGGTCACATCGAGAATAATGGCATACCCATCAAGAAACCATTTGATAAGTTATATTCATGTATCTATGGGATTATCGGCGTATAGATTAGTTTAACAGTCCTCCGACTTGATATCAATACTTACTTCATGTGTGGAGTGATGTACTTTGATCATGACCAACGCTTGCACTCTAATCAGGGTAGACAGAACATGTGTTGGGTACATCCTAAAGCACATGGAGTAGTAGTTGAGCCAAGAAAGGATTCATTTCTCGTAATAGATTAAGAGAGAACATTCTACATCTCATATCTAGATGGATCATAAAGTCATTGGCCAATGCAAAGATATATTTGTTTTAGATATCGAATATGATCTTTATGGATCATCTAGAATGATTGAGAGATAGAGACTAAGTTATATGAATAGACACAATATCGAGTTCTTTACTTAGTTGAATGTTCGTTGAATGAAAGGATTGTATCATTATGAGCTCTAAATTACATGGAGTTTGAATAGTCCTCACAAACGTCGTTATATATTAAAATCGTCTAGGGGTTCTGCTAAGACATTAATAAGCCTTATGGGTCACACAACAAGTGATTATACCTTCCGGTTGAATTATTAGAAGGAATTAAATATTAATTTGATTAAATAATTTAATTTGTAATACTAAAAATGGATAAATATTAATTAGATTAAACATAATCCATTCATGAAGTTGAAGGAGAGTTCTATTTGATAGAATTAATTAAGTAAGAAAAATAAGATTTATCATACATTAATAAGATGCATCTATTATTAAATAAAGTAGATGTTTTCTTTTGTAGTTTAGAATTAAAAAGAAAAGTAAATGAAATAAATAATAATATATAATAATTAGAAAGTGGCGTACTTGCACATCTCTATTATTATTATTATTATTATTATTATTATTATTATTATTATTGTTGTTGTTGTTGTTATTATTGTTACTATTGTTAATATTGTTATTATTATTATTATTATTATTATTATTTTTGGTTAGAAGCTATGCAAATTCTCTTACAAGTTATTGTTAATTTCACTATGTAAAACACCCCACATGGCTTTTGTTTCGATTCGTTTCGAGTTTCTATCTTTATTATTTTATATGTGAATCGAGTGAGTTGAAGCTTTACTTTTTATTTTCGTACAGTACTCAGTAGTATTCATCAGAGGCAATAATGGCATACAGACGGAGTGTAACCTCCAGAGCTAAGTTTTTTTATCACCAGCAACTTATTACACCTTCTCTTTCGCACATACAACGTGATGATGATCGAAAAAACTGTCGAACCTGACTCCCATGATACTAAAGAATTCCGTTACATTCAGTACATATATATATTGGCCGGTAACGGTGTTGGTGGTTAGAAACTCTCGTTTCTGGACCCGAGATAGTGGATAAGATGGAGTATGTGACTAATATTGCAGATGTGCTGCCTTATAGTGCTAGTGAGGTCGTGCCTTCTCAAGCTCCAGTGGTGAATGAGGTGCCAATGACTGCTGCAGACTCCTTTTTGGCAGTTGCTGTCTTGGAGCACTTGATTGATTATGTCCATTGCTATACTGGCTTCAATTGGTGGGCATTAATTGAAGCAACAAGTGTTATGATTAGATTAATAACTCTTCCATTGAATATACACCAGATTAAAGTCACTACAAGAGTAACACTTTTGAGGCCAAAATTGGATGTGATACTAGAAGACATGCAGGACAGGGTAATGATCACTTGGGGTTATAGTATCATTACACAGGTTGGTGTTAAGATGGTTTCCAGAAATGGGAACAATCTTATTAAAGCTAATAAAAAGGGAGGTTTGTATATTGTTGAAGGTACATCTGAACTTAATCTTGCCGCCCCTGTCCCTAATGATGCTATTAAAAACAAAATGAAATATGGCATAAGAGGCTGAGTCATATCAGTAATGTGGGTTTGAGTAAACTGTTTCAAAATGGATTGATTGATTTTAAACCTAGCCCTATTGATCTTTGTGAAAATTGTATTTTTGGAAAGCAAACCAGACATTCCTTTGGTAATTCTACTTATACTGCTTCTAAACCCCTAGAATTAGTTTATGCTGATTTATGAGGGCCTTCTAAAGTTGGAACAATAGAAGGAAGGAAATACTTTCTTTCTCTTGTTGATCACTTTTCAAGAAAAGTATGGGTATATTTACTGAAAACAAAGGATGAAACTTTTGAAAGTTTTAAAAATTCGAAGAGCTTGGTTGAATCTCAATCTAATCTTAAACTGAAGTCTTTGAAGACTAACAATGGACTTGAATTTTGAAATACTATTTTCAATAATTTTTGCAAAACTAATGGGGTTAAAAGGCTTTTAACTGTCCCTGGAACCCCTCAGCAGAATGGTACTGCTGAGAGGATGAACCGAACCCTACTTGAAAAAGCTAGGTGCATGTGATTTGAATCAGGTCTTAAGAATTCTATGTGGGGTGAGGTTGTAGTAACTGCTGCTTACTTGATAAACAGATCA